GCTTAATTCCCCTACAAATTATTTTAAACAGTAATAATTCAATTCTTTTTAAATTATTTATAATAAAATATTGTAAGTCTAAACCTTACCTATTTTATGGTACACCTTTTTAAACCTACAAAATTTTAAATTATTCTATTTAAAATCATGTAGGTTTGCGTTACATAAAGGTGTTATGTAACATTTTTTATAATATTATTATTATTATAGGTGGTAATTTCTTGTTGACAAATCCGTGAAAACCTGTTCCAGGTGATGGAAATCCACGGAATTTTGGAGAACAACGAGGCCGTCGTCGGCAGCAATGGCAAAGTGTGCACTTTCGAAACAAACAAAGTCATCTCAAAACCAAACATTCCTAAACAAGACCTCGTCTGCACCGAATGCAAGTTCACCTTCTCCACCGAAAAAACCCTAACTCATCACATTAAATACAAACACAACAAAACATGCATCGTTTACCCTTGCCCTGACTGCAACGAAACCCTCTCAAATGCGTGGAGTGTCTACAGACACTTATACAAAGTCCATCGACGCACATCGGCCCAAATTCGGCGAATGCGAGATTTGATCCACTCTAGCAGAATCAGAAAATGGCAAAAACCGGAGAAGAAAATCGCAATTGAAGAACGCACCGAAAACGAAGAAAATCAATGGATGGACAACTTCGAAGGCGACAAAGACTTGCAGATGTGTGGGGGCTGTGGAAAGCGATTCGAGCGAAAGGCAGCCCTCCAGTCGCACTCCCAGATGTGCACCAAGAGGATCGCAGTGTGCAATAGCTTGAAAAGTGGGAAAATCAAGTCTGATAAGAAAATTGATAAGAGTGAAACAACTGAGAAGATTTTGAAAGGGGCGGCGCGGCGAAAGCCTACTCTCATTTCGACATACAAGAAAAATGAAACAGTTGAATCGCCGCCTCCTGAAATCGAAGTTTTCACTATTTCGGATGATTCGAGTGAAGTCCCGGAAACGGAAGAAGACCGAAACACACTCAAGAAGAAACGCACCACTTGGGAATTCGACCCGAAAACAATTGAAATCTCCGAAGAATACAAGACTTATCTGAATGATGAAGCCGATCATTGTTTCCTGGCCAAAGCCCTGGGTTATATGGACAAAACGGCCCTAAAGTGCATCCCTTGTGAGAGCACTTTCGTGTCGATTTACCTCCTGTTGCGCCACATGTCGGTCCACTTCTCTTGGTTTCGATTTCAGTGTAGCAAATGCCCGTTTATGTCGTTTAATAAGTACGATTGCACCACTCATGCTAATAGCCAACACAGTGTTCCCAACACTCTAATGGAGAGCACAGTGTTGCCAATCCCAAAATGGAAGGTTTTGTGCACGTCGCATGATTTTGAGCAAGTGGTGGAGGAAATGCCCCATTTGGAGAAGTGTGGAGAAGCAATTGTTCTCGAGGATGAGGAGATGCCGATGCTTTCGTCGGATGATGAGAAGAAGGAAACGAAAGCGGGGCCTTCCAAAGTCGAAAATAGTCGACCGATTCGAAACAGAACCAAAAGTGTGAAGACAGTGCAAGATGATTTTATTTATGATTTGGCCAAGGTTTTGAAACTTAATGATAATTCTATCAAAAATAAGAGAGCGAAAAAGAGTGGAAAAACTTGCAATAAGATGTTCGAGTGATGTGTATAAAGTTGAATAAATTATTAGTTATTTACTCTTTTATTCGCTGCCAAATAATAGCAAAACGCGCTTTAGGGGAAATACCGAGGAAAATCAAGGCTATTTTCGGGCGAAAGAACACTCGGATGTAATGTCACTTCTAACAAGTAATCTACTAATTAAATTTTACATAATAAAGTATTTAAACAATATAGTAAGGCATATTCGGAGTGGAAACTGGAAAACATTCGGATGCAAATATAGTCGTTTTCATATTAATGTGCATCAAAGTAGTCGTTGAAAGGGATGATTTTAAGTTGGCGACCATGCGAAAATTCAAACAAACTTAACCTCTGTTTGTTCTGAATGTCATTAATGACACTATTTGTGTGAATCGACCTTTAAATTAAACATGCATTTAGAATCTTACAACCTACTTGATGCACGTTAATATGAAAAAGAGTATATTTTGTTTACTTTGCCCACCGTACCAGTGGCGGCTCGTTTTGTGATTAAAAAAGGAAACGTTTATTAGGACGCAATTACATTAGGAAATGCATTTATTATATAAAAAAGGGTTTTAAGTAAACATATGTATATTTCTCATAATCCCAAAATCCTGTCTTAAAGTTTCACCTGAGAGTAACCTATAAAAAACAAATGTAAAATTGCAAGTAATAAAAAGCTTTCGTGAAAAATTTTAATAAAACGAAACCAAATTTAAAAATTTCAAAGCTATAATTCAAAAAATTAGCTCCTTATAAACCACATTCTACGCCTATGTACTGTTTAAAAATTGTGAGTTTACTTACTTATGGAAAGAAATCGAAGATTCCTTGTTGATTCTGTACACTACATGAGAATTAACCATAGCGTTTTATTGTAAAAACATACTTAAAAAAAATTACGATCAGAAAATGTGACAGCTGTCGACTGTCAAAAATAATACGAATCGACCAATCAGAAGCCGTCTTTATAAACACTTGCATCAATAATGACATTTTTTAAATCTTTGTCACCCTATGTTAATTATATTGTTAATTATAATTATTTTTTACCACCTCAAAAACTCGGCTACACATATTAAAATTTTTAAGGAAGATTGAGGTTGGGATTGTTTGAATTTTTGCATGGTTGCCACCCTAAAATGATCCTTTTCAACGACTACTTCCATGCACATTAATATGAAAACGATTATAGACATTACGTTGACATTTCTTATTTATTTGTGATATTTGTTGTGATTATTAACAAAGAATTGCATTATTGTTAATTATTAAAATGTCGGCGGCGATGCTCACAGCCGACTGGTTCCTCTTGGGCCGAGATTTATACTTTCGGTGAGTTTGAGGTTAGAAAACCTGTCATTAATCCCAATGTTTTTGCAGGAAATTCGAAATTTACACAATGGGGTGGCACCAAGACATCAATTTGGAGAATTTCATTGCAGCGTCAGCCCCGTATGGGGGCCCCATCGCAATCCGACGCGACGACCACAAATTCATCAAAGTGCAAGGAACTGGCCAACCCATCATTTCCATTTTTTCAGGTTCTGGAAAGCAAATCACTTCGTTCAAAGTTAGTTTTTATGGGATTTACTGATTTGTAATTGACTTAATATTTGTAGTGGACTAAAAGGCCCATCGTGTGTATGGGGTGGTCAAACGACGAGAAATTGATTTGTATTCAAGAAGATGGGGTTGTGGTGTTACACGACATGTTTGGGAAGTATTTACACACTTTTGTGATCAGTCAAAAAATCCAAGACGTGAAGGTTGTTGATGCGAAAATTTTTACAAGTCCGCAAAACCGGACAGGGATTGCTGTGATGACGTCAAATTTTAAAATCTTCCTTATTAATAACATCCAAGAGCCCAAGACTAGACAACTTTCGGAGTTAATCAGTGTGTAAACAAATTACCACTATTTCGTTATTTTGAGATATGTTGTAGGGTCAAATTTGCACCCCACGAGTTGGGTTGTAATCTCCGAGGAGCCTCACACCGAGGTCCTCATCGCTCGTGAGAAAGAACTCTTTCGATTGAAACAAGACGAGCACCATACCAGTGTCATGGTAAAAAACTATTCACTAGTCTAATTTTGTACTCGGGCTGCGCTTTATCGCAATAGCGTTCCAAACTAACTAGTTGGAGAGCAGGTAATATGGCGAAAAACCCTTATTTAGGGAATTGAAACGGTCTTTTTATCAAAATTACTTCAATGAGCATACATTAAATTGTGATTATAATAAACAAGCTTGCTCAAATTCATAAATTTATTTAAGAAATGTATTTTGCAAGAATACAGTATGTTCTCGGATTTACGCCAAAACTGCAAAGGAAAAACATTTTTAGCTTGACTTGACTTTTAAGGTTCTTTAACTACAACTTTCAAAAATCAAGATTGTAGGACTAGTTTTAAGTGGCAGATTTTTTTTAATAAACTGTGAATTTTGCCAATTTCTATCAAGTTATTTCTTTATAATGAAAATTCTGAACTTAATAATATATTTTATAATAGCCAGTCAAAAGGAAACAAATTTTTACCTTTGATTTTACGCCAAAAAAGCAAAGGAAATACTTTTTTTTCTATATCAGATGTTAAACTATTTCTTTAAAAACTCTTTTGAGTAGATAAAGTAACACTTTAACAGTAAATGTTGTTTTTGCTTTATCTGAAACGATCAAATCTGTAATTAAAACTTCATTATTCTGACTCAGTGGAAAGAAAAGTTAATTTTTTTCTTACTTTTGGACTTGTAATAATAATCTTTCTTTGCTTTTCAAGTCTCATCACATTGGCGATTTTATTTTTTTAACAACGGTGTCACTTTGACAATTAACTAATTAATTGAATAATAATTGTTTTTGTTAAAAATGCTTTTTTTAAAAGCTGTTTTTTGACTTGCCAATTATTAAAATTATGTTTTTTTACAAACATTTTTGAACTCATCTGTCAAAACGACATCGTTGTGAAAAAAATACAACGCCAATGTGATGGGATTTAAAACGCAGAGAAAATTACACTACTTTACACGATTTTTATATCTTAGCTGAAAGTTAATTTCTTATAGATTTTGAGGCACTGAGTTCAAAAAAAACTATTTAAAAAAGTCCACCACGTTACGTTTAAGAAATATGTAATTAACAAAAATACAAAAATCGCTAAAAAACATTAAAAGTGAGTTATTTTACTTGGTTTTATTATACTTTTTCGATCAATTTTCTTTATAACAATCCAACAGTAATCTACTAACATATTTTCATCCCAAAAACCTTTGAGTCGATCTTTGAAAAACCTTCAGATCTTGATGAAAACGCTCATGTTTGTCACTCATGCTCCCTAAATTTTTAAAAAAGAAGTCCAAATGCGAATGAAATGTTTTCAAGACCTATTTAGACCCATATGGTAATAATTTTGTAATAATTCAGCAACAATTTGAATTTAAATAAATTTTAAATCGCAGTCATTTGTGCAGAAAACAGGAAAATTATCGTCTGTAACAAAAAAAGTGTGTCGTGATAGAAAAATTTAACAATTATTTTTGTTTAATTAAAGTTAAGTTAACATAAAAATAATAATTCGATTAAACATGTTATTGTTTGTAGACTATAGTGTTATTAGTTATTACAAGCTCAAAATCAAGAGAAAAATTAAATTTTTTTTCCACTGAGTGAAAATAATGAACTTTTAAAATTACAGACTTACTGGTTTCAGATGAAGCAAAAAATGTTTTTCTTTTGCAGTGTTAGCGTAAAATAAAAAAATCCGGGGACATACTGTATAATATTAGTTATTATTATTATAGCATTAAATTTACCACTTTGGGTTTTTTGTTTTGTTTAGAAGTAACAAAAATAAATATAAAAAACGGAAGAAACTAACTATTTGTTAATAAAATTAAAAGTAAATCACAAAAATTTTGTTAAGGTAATGAAATACATAGGCATGCATTTTTTTCTCTAAAATTTGCTTATTAGTGTCATTTTGCAAATTATTATAATCACCATTTAATAATCTAAACTCGTTGAAGAAATTTTCAGAAAAAGACCGTTTCAACTTCTGAAATAAGGGTCTTTCGACATATGACCTGCTCCCTAACTAGTTAGTCGGAACCACTATTGCAACAAAACGCAGTGTGAGCACAAAGCTAGACTGGTGAATAGTTTTTTCCCCGGGTGTACCAACTACCAACTTAACGCAATTTTACCCCAAAAATTCCAGCTAGAACCTGATATTTCCATCAATTATTCGTCAATTTTGGAAATGGCAGTCTCATTCAACGCCCGTCACGTGGCCCTCTTCACCGATTCGGGCTACTTGTGGCTAGGCTCGTCAAATTTACGCACGAAATATTGCGAAATTGACACTAATATAATCCACAAACCCAAACAACTCGTCTGGTGTGGCAACGAGTCAGTTGTGGCCTATTGGGAGAGGGACAATTCGCTTTTGATAGTTGGCAAACATGGACAGAAAATGATGTACACTTATGACAGTTCGGTCCATCTCAGTCACGAAATCGACGGCGTGAGAATTATCTCAAACACCCAACACGAATTATTGCAAAAAGTCCCCGATGTTGTGCAAAAAATCTTCAGGATTAATAGCACCGATTTGGGAAGTTTTCTACTAGAGGCGTCTAAACACTATCAAGTAGGTTTGAATCGGCCAATGAAATCACACGAAAAGTGCGCCAATTTTGAAATTTTTTATTACAGAAACGGAGCCATCGCGCAAATGAATACATTTGTTTGGTGAAACAAGACTTGGCAAAGGCTGTTGATCAATGTATCAATGCTGTGGGGTACGAATTTGATACAGACGTCCAAAAAATGTTAATCAGGGTTTGGTAATTGTCAAATTTTGATTTAAAAAATAATTAAACTAATTTTAGGCCGCACAATTCGGCAAGTGCTTTATTGCGTACATGAATTCGGACAAATATGTGAACATAATTCGATTATTGCGCGTTTTGAATGCAGTTAGGGACCCCAAAATCGGAATTCCGCTCACATTTACACAGTAGTCTTCTATACAACACGTATTTCATTTTTTTTAATTGAGTTATTTTCGTTAGATTGCAATTTTTGGGCCAGAAAGTGCTCCTTGACCGCTTAATTAGACGTAAAGAGTATTACCTCGCTTTGCAAATTGCTAAATATTTAAAGATGCCGGAGGAAGAGGGCACTAGTCACATTTTGGTCCATTGGGCGAAATATAAGGTTGGCCAATCGCACTTAGAAGAGGAAACAGTGGCCCGAGAAATAGCCGAAAAGTTGGGAAACACTGCTGGAATTTCATACAGTGAGATTGCCAGCACTGCGTCCCAATTTGGTCGCAAAAAACTAGCCATAAAGCTGTTAGATTACGAATCAAAAGCTAGCGAACAAGTGAAATTGTTACTAGAATTGACAGAAAACACCCCAGCTTTAGTGAAAGCGATCGAGAGTGGCGACACTGATTTGGTGTATATGGTGATATTAAAACTGCGGGAAAAAATGGCGCTTGGTGATTTCAAAATGACGATTCGGAGTTTCCCAGTGGCTCAGTCTCTCTATATTAAATATTGTAAAGAACATAATACTCAAGCTTTGAACGAAATTTATATCCAAGAGGACGATTTTAGTGCCCAAGCTCAGACTTTCATCATGGAAAGTCTCGACGACAAGGTGACTAGTTATTTAATTGACTTGGGGTTGGTAGACCCGGAAAAAAACTATTCACCAGTCTAACGTTGTACTCGGGTGCGCTTTGTCGAAATAGCGTTTCAGACTAACTAGTTGGCAGGTAATATGTCGAAAAACTCTTATTTAGGAAGTCTTTTTGTGAAAATTACGTCAATGAGCATACATTAAATTGTGATTATTAATAAACAAACTTGCTCAAATTATCAAATTACAAATACATAAATTTATTTAAGAAATGTATTTTGCAAGTGTACAGTATGTTCCCGGATTGGGTTTACAAGAGGAAAAAAATTTTTACCTTTGATTTTACGCCAAAACTGCAAAGGAAAAACATTTTTAGCTTAACTTGACTTTTAAAGTTTTTTATCTACAACTTTCAAAAATCAATATTGTAGGACTAGTTTTAAGTGGCAGAATTTTTTAATAAACTGAATTTTGCCAATTTCTATCAAGTTATTTCTTTATAATCAAAATTCTGAACTTAATAATACATTTTATAATAGCCAGTCAAAAGGAAACAAATTTTTACCTTTGATTTTACGCCAAAAAAGCAAAGGAAATACTTTTTTTTCTATAGCAGATGTTAAACTATTTCTTTAAAAACTCTTTTGAGTAGATAAAGTGACACTTTAACAGCAAGGGTTGTTTTTGCTTTATTTGAAACGAGCAAATCTGTAATTAACACTTCATTATTCTGACTGAGTGGAAAGAAATGTTTTTTTTTTCTTACTTTTGGACTTGTAATATTAATCTTTCTTTGCTTTTCAAGTCTCATCACATTGGCGGTGTCACTTTAACAATTAATTAATTAATTGAATAATGATTGTTTTTGTTAAAAATGACTGTTTTTTAGAAGCTTTTTTTTTGACTTGCCATGTTTTTACAAACATTTTTGTTATTTAAATTGCGTTAACTCATTTGTTAAAACGACATCGTTGTCAAAAAAATTAAAACGCCAATGTGATGGGATTTAAAACGCAGAGAAAAAATTACACTAGTTTACACGATTTTTATACCTTAGCTGAAAGTTAATTTCTTATAGATTTTGAGGCACTGAGTTCAAAAAAAAAAAACTATTTAAAAAAGTCCACCACGTTACGTTTAAGAAATATGTAATTAACAAAAATACAAAAATCGTTAAAAAACATTAAAAGTGAGTTATTTTACTTGGTTTTATTATACTTTTTCGATCAATTTTCTTTATAACAATCCAACAGTAATCTACTAACATAT